AATTCGAATACCACTGCGACTATGAATTGAAGTAACATTAGCGCAAAAGGGGTATTGGCCGGGATTGAATGCTTCATCTTCAACTAAATCATCAGGAAGAATGGTACACGTAGGAAAATTTCGGCTTTCTCTTGTATAAGATCTTCTACATAGTACCTCCACAAATGTCGAGCCGCCCTTCCCTCTCACATCAGTCCGAAACGTGGTTCTCGAACAAAACACTGATATGAGGCCAACGTGTACCCGAACTGCTGATATTGATATGTCCTACGTGTTTCGGCAGTAAAGTATGAAAGCACTGTAGCTATATTAAGATTTGAGAGCATATTTGTTCCATTATTGTGCAGGGCGCCCTCTAAAACCTATGTCAGACGTTGTGTATCCAGCAAATCGCTAGAATCGCGAGGACATAAAAGCCTGGGAAATTGCCGAGAATCACCGTTGGTATGAGAACAACTCTCGATACTTTCCTACGCCCTCGAATCGCTGGTGCATGCTCCTAGACGATGGTGCACCGCTCGTACCGTTGGCGCATCGTTTGTTTCCACGATTTTCTGGGTTTGCGGAATCTGGGACTGGCCTGATGTGACCTTCAAAAATTCTGCGTGATTTTTTTGCGGTGCCGTCACCTTATCTCTAGACAGCCAACCTTATCCCTCTTTCAAGACAACTGATAAACCAATCAAGGTCAACACAATTGCCTAGCTGAAGCTTTGTATCGCCTCGTAATTTCACTTAACAAACGGTTAGCTTTCTCATAAACTGATGTTTCACCACGTGATATTGATAAGAAAACTGTACGAAGGCAAACAGTGCTTCTCAAGATTGATTGAGATCATTCCCACAAGTGTTCTCAGTCAAGCATTCACCATGTCTCTATAACGTCACACGTAAGCCGTCATATTCCCCGCAGAATTACAGAAACTATTCACACGATTTCTCTAGATTCAATTCGTTTAAACACACCACCAGAGGTCGTGTGAACTCTTCTCTTCGGTCAGAAAGTTAGTACGACCACCTAGAGACCGAATCACAATGTGCTTCTCTGCCCACCGAAAACCACCGATAGAGCGCCTGCCTTGCAAAAGTAACTTGCTCTAGGCTCGCTAGGCGAACAGCTCGAGTCTTATCAGAGCCGTCTGTGCTCCCTCTCATCGATACGCTCATCCGTCCCATACTCTCCTCCTTCGCCTTAGCTCTCTTCTTCAGCACACGCCATTACGAAGGGAAATTGATCCTCCCACCTGACCACTTGCAGCAGGGGCATACATATCACATTCTGGCAAGAACCCACATGCATCTCTGGGAGCATGGCCTTTCAAGGCTTAGGGTGCAAATTGCCCAACTTCCTCCCGTACTTTCACTTCTATGTCCCCGCAGTTGGATGGCGTGGGTATTGAATGCAGTCCTTCCAGAGTCACGATCGCTGGGCATGTCTGTAGGTGATCCAAACCCTCAGATCATCATTGCTCATGCCATCTGCCTCTTATCCTGCTTTATATTTCTTGGGAATGACATCTACTTTCCCGGCACATACGAAGGAAGTACTGAACCACTCCTTAAAGGAATCTTGCGCGGAAAAATCATGATTCTATTTCAGCCATAAATCACTGGCTTGAGACTCATTATCCACGATAATAGTGAAAAGAACTGAAGTATTGCTTTCGTTTTGATTAGAAATTCGAAAACTCGAAAAGGCTGCTACGCGTTCGAATTGCCCACGGACGTCTTTCACGAATGCTGGCGACGGGGATGCTCAAACTTGGTTCTTGGAGTGCATTCACTAGAAGCTCTTTCTGGCCTTCTGCTTCGTTGCATTCACATCTTACACTTCTACTCCATCCTATTCCATCGATCGATTTGTCTCCACTCTCCGAAATCGCGCGCTTTAACCCGATTCTCTCATTGCGTCGCCTGGTACGTAGCCGGCCAAACGCCGTCTTCTTTCCATGCCTCGCCTGGCTCTGCCTCCTTCCTTCGATGGTCCATCAGGTGAGTTTTTGGTACTTTGTTTTCTGCTCCAGAGAGTGCTGAATCTTACATGCGTGCACACTTCGTCGCTGCTATTTCCATGGAATCACACTGCTATATTCATGTAGCTAAGAAGTTCAAGAATTTTTCCCGTCGCAAAAGATCCTTAAGCCCCTTATTTGGGCTAAATCGCTTTCAAGCTACATTTACGAGAGTTACAACCACGAGTCTGAATGGAAGCAGAATACGTGGCGCATCCCAAAAAGGTCATTGGACTCTTTTCGAACGACCATAGCAAAATCGATTTTGATAGAACAAATCAGACTGCATAGTTTTGGCAGAGTTTTGAGTGGACCACAAATCCATTCCCTGTGTTAGCAATACCCTGGGCACTGTTTCGTGACATCGGCAAGGTCATGCTACCAACATCTGGAGTCATTATGTGTCATCCGTTATTCGTCATGTTCTTTTGACATTTCTCAAAGGGCTTTGTAATCAGACTGCCATGTCGTTGTTCCAGAATGTGGCATACCCCAGTGTTGGTCCTGCTGACGATGACGGCCTGCTTTGCCTTCCCGGCATCCGGCGGATTGGATGTAGAGAACCTTAGCGCAGGTGGCAAGAAGTTCTTCATGGACGTAAGCTTTATCGCAGGTTTCTTTCGTATTGTAAGCTGGACTAACACTGAAAGATAATTTCAGATGACAAAACAGGTGATGGGGGTGCCGTCGTTGAAACCGGAGAATCTTGCCGCCCAGTCGTTTTTCCGCAGTTTCCTCGATAAATACACAAAACTAGATGACAAGGTACGCCTTCAGTCCGATTTATCTTCATTTCAAGAAGTTTTTGCTTTACAGCTTCACAGCTGTTAAGCACGCGGTTTGTGTAGGTAAACAAAATCCGCGAAATAAGCACTTACCGTTTGATAGAACATGCCGTATGTGACGAAACAAGTGCTTAATCATGAGGAGTAGGATTTTTGTTTAGAAAGCCTCAGGGTTTACTTACGTTGGAAACTACCCTATATCTACCTCACACTCTTTTATATCTCTCCATAAGATTTTTCGTGCATTCGCACCTTGTAGGGGCGTAGCATTATTAAGCGGTGTGCATGGATGGGGCGGTTTTGAAGGTTCTAGGAAAATTCACGGTTTCTCGATTTTTTGAAAACGAAACGTTTCTTTGTGCAGCAATAGAACTCAACCGTGGAACTCGCACAAAGGAATTCAGCACTCAAGGCGGTCGACTTTCAAGCCAAAAAAATGACCACATATTCGCCATAAACGGGCGCTACGATTGCAAAACTCGGTAAGTTTAAAGGCAGGTCCCGGGATTAGGTAGGAGCTACGCCGTGAGTAAACTTGTTGGGTACGTACCTACAAAAATCGAGTCAACTTCACTGCACAAAATGCGCGGCTAAGGCGCTTATTGTTGGGGAATTGCAGTCATCCTGATGTGGAGATCAGCGTGCTTTCCAGTGCTACGTGCTCACTCGCGTGCTTTGCCTTCTCTGGTCGATCTGTCTCCACTTCGTACCATATCCGACCTTACCTTTGTCTTTTGTAGTTTGAGCTCTCAATTTTTGAGGTTTCGATGGTTTTTCTTGCTTTCTTCTCCACATTCAGTTCACTGCGCAGCTCAACCATCACAAAGAAACGCTCTTGTACGCCAGTACTAGCCCAGGGCTTGCCTCTGAACTGAAGAAAGGAAATAAGTTATAAGATAGTTTGGAAATTTGGCTATGTTCTACTCTCTGGTTTCTCAAAACGTCATTGAAGGAAATAGATGACAATCTCTCGGCGCCAAATGTGGGCTACGCCAATTGTAAGGATGCTCCAAAAGTTTGCAACGGGCTCTTTATGACAGATATGGCTGGAGAGCTAGGCAGGGATAGCCGAGTGGTTAAGAGGTTAGACTCATGTCTGCACCTCTGAAAAACCGCGAGTTCGATCCCTGCCGAGGCTCTAAACCATGCCTTGCAAAAATTGCAAAAATGGTTCTAGTACCAGCGTCAGGCCCAGGTTGACAGGCCGGCTGATGAAGACCCCGTCACAACAAATATGTCTAAAGTCGAAAAGGAATCAGTATGGGTGGAGGACTATGTGGTTTTGATGACGTTATCAAAGGTCGTTGGTCCCTCATCGCGCCGGGGATGGCATCACCGAACACAGCACCTCCCTTGCCATCACGATCCCTGTCTCCAACAGTTGAAGAAAATGTAGAATACTACAATATTTTTCTGATCTTCGGTGAGCTTGAACTAAAGGCAAATCATTTGTATGTGCAATAAAAACGTTAGAATGAAGGCGTGCTCTGAACCCCTCAAAATTCACCTCAAAATTAGAGAAATAAAAAAGCCGCCATCATAGACCTGGAAAGCCAAGATTCCATTCTCTCTCCCCTGATTAGGCACAGACGACACCGAAAAAGGATGAAACCCTGGTAAGTACCAGTTTACGGCTTCCAATAAACCTCAAAAAGGCGTCGCGTGAAAACCTTTTCTGAGGCGGTCCCCCACACGCGACAAATTGTGTAATATGAACAAATCACCGAAAATTGTTAGAACACGAGCATACTAGGTTTAACTGAATTCTACGTCCTTCAAAAATCTTTTTTTTTCTGCTAAAACCCAAAGAATTCCACTGAGTCGAAACTCCAGCTTTTGATTGTTCACTGATTTTTCAAGGTTTTTCGCCCCTTTTTTCGCAAAGCGCTTTTAAAAGCAAAGTTCATTGTGTTATCGTGATTTATGAATGGCGTCGTATTTATTCGGTGAAAATGGCCGTCAACAACATTATCTCCGCATTCAGTTTGAACCCTTTCAATAGCTGTAGCGTCCCTGGATATCACGAACGCTTTGAGAAGCAAGACAAGAGGTTCATCGAGAACTAGCTTTTTGAAATCTTTAGTCCATCGAAGGCCTTCACTGTCGTAAAGAAGTAGCGCGGCCGCTTTCTGGAAATTACCACGTGGGTAACGGCAGAAACGTGGGGGTCGTACACTCACTACTACAACTATATACAGATGTCGTTGCAAAAAGATTTCTTTTGAGATCATTACGCCATTTCGTCAACGCATTCGTTCAACGCAATGCTCATGTACCGGCTATCCAACTCCTTTCCTTGGAGTTGACTATTGAAAATGAGATCTACATACAATTTCTTTGGTTTCGAATTTTGCTACATAAGTTGGCTCATAGAAGAATCGCTAAGCGCTACAAGCAAATCATTCCAACCCAGAAGTTCATTATTCGTTTACCGCAGTTTTCTATAAGACCGATCCCGGACATAACCCACACACATGCAGAATAACAATGAGTGATCGAGTCGAATCGTTATGGCACACTCTGAAAATAGCCTAGCACAATAGCTAAAAACCACACCATCCTAAGGATCTTTTGACCTAGAGAAATTCTAGTATTATGTCACACTCTCAGAAAAATATTGAAGGGAGATTAATTTTTCAATTCCCCATTTAGTCTATCAAGAAAGCGAACATTCATGTTTGCAAAAACAAAAACAACAAAAAGTTTTTTGATAAGGTTTGAAAGTTTCTATAAAGGCGCGTGCTTTGTTAATAGTAGCTTGATAGTGCATGACGATCGTTTACTAAGCGTCTCAATATGAACCAGAGCAATTTAATTTTTATTTCCTTGAACAGGTAGAAAAAAATTATTCGCTGGCTACAGCTGACGTGAAGCGTCATACGTTACCCACTCTAGAAAAAAACGGCAGTGAAAAATTCGAGATTATTTGAGAAGACATCGTGTCCATGAGCATGTATACAGGTCGACCACATGTTGTGCCTGCTTCAAAAATTTAACCCATTCGTGACAATGTCAGCCACCGGTGGCTGACAAAGCTCTCACTCGGGACAATGGCATTACTGTGGCTGCAGGGCTTGAAATGGAATTTGGAAAGTTTTCTTCCATGGAAAAGAATCTTCATACCCTCGCTCATCTACGCCAGCCCTGGGCAGAGGAAATCTCCCTCCACTCGAATTTTATTGAAGAAAAATCTGACGCTGCTGCTATTGCGCAATCCTGCGCGGTCGCGAATGGGTTAAAAACTCCGGCCCGCGCCAAACCTATCCTAAGGCGACCTCACGCGATCTCTACTATCGATCATCACTCTGAGAGGCCTCTTCATACGACTTTTTTAGATAAGCTACCACAGTGACGGTGCGCTTTTCCCACATGGCTGTTTTGTACTAATTGCGAATTATACCTAAAGCCACGAGTCAGGATTAGGCAACCAGCAGAAGTTCTTCCCAGGGTGCGATAGTGGGCTCCCCAAGCACTGAGGGCGCGACACTATCGCGACCCAAAAGTGCGCGGCAATGGCGCTAAGGCCTTGCCCGCCGCGCTGCCCGCGCTGCCAGCGTAATCCACCACGGCATACGTGGTCTCTGCGTCCTCTCGCGTACGACGTACTATCTCGCGTTCTCCCTCTCCTCGCAGCGCTGTGTCTCTCCGTCGTACTACGGCCGGCCTCCTAAGGGAAATTTAGTGTTTTCTATGGTGCTTTTTGCTTTTTCTCCTCACTAATGTTCCTCATTGCACCCCTTGCCTAATGTTTGAACAAAATAAAGCATCAATTCAATCCCGACTCGTGCCTTTACCAGTCAGTCCGCACCTCGAATTCACCATATTTCTTTTTTATTCGATTTCCGCGGTTCGAAAGCCACATCACCCACCGACCCACCTCACGCCTCTTAACCGCCTCACGTCTGAAATTCTACACCACAATCCCCTCGCAACAATCGCGCGCCCTCATTTATCACCATTCACCATCACAAAACATTACAATATGCCCCTTTGACCCCTAGCTAAACGCTCGATTCAATTGTGGTTCTATGGTCAGCAATCAAACATGGCGATATCACGCGTTCTATCTGATGCATTACACGTGTCCACTACGCGCGCAACTACGACACTGAAGAACAGAATGTAATACAACTGGCAGAGAAGGCTCTTATAAGATGCTGATATTGCTAGCACTGAACCAGTAGTAATTCCTTAGGCATTTCTGAACAAAAAGGAACTTTATAAAACTAAAGAATACGAAAACAAAAAACGGAAGTGGGCTACAAAAATATTTTCACAGCATAAATAGCCTTCAAATTTTTTTTCATTTTCAGACAAAGAGAGACATGGAACAGCACGTGCCAACTGCCACGAAGATCTTCAACCAAGCAGGTTTGTGCAATTGTTGGGCTGTACTGTTTTTCACATGTTACTTACTTACTTTATTACATGCAGTCCGCATGTGAAATGGAAAAGAATATAATCACAACCACGAATACAACACAACGACCGAGGAAAAGAGAAAAAACGACATAATTCAAACCTAACTAGTGAAACAGGATTGATGAGAAAATCTCACTTGACACAATGAAGAGAACCGTGCTTTTGAATTTTGGGAAAGTGGTCGGAATTTCAACTACTTTGCTCATTTTCAAGTACTCCATCCCGGCACGAAACGTGAAGAACCTGCGCCCAACCGAAGTACGAGGCTGTCGAAAAGTTAGCTTGAGCTTTTCCCCCTCTAGTATGTTACATCTGCCCTGTGATATCAAAACAGGGACTGAAAACTCAAAATCTCCTTGCGTTCGGATAAGCAGTACCTTCTAGGTGTGACATTGGTAGAGTGAAAAGTGTTCACTGAGGCAATTTAGCTATTTTTACAAGCATGAGTTGAGCTTGAAAGTTTTCGACGGATTGTGGACCATTACGATGTGGTTCGAAATGTTAGTCGACAGTAGACTTGTGTAGCCATCAGTGATTCACATTATGTGACAAAAGTTTGCTGATGTGCACCTTCAGCAAAAGTCTTTTTTTTCTTCGACCCCCCCCCCTC